AGAAAGCCGATCTTTTGGCTGACGCCTTAACTGGCGCTCTTGAAGGAGCAGCAGTGGTCACCCGTCCGGTAAGGAAAAGAGAGCTACGCGTAACGGGATTGGATGATTCGGTGGAACCCAGTGATGTGGTAAGGGCAATCCTTGGTGGAGACTATGGCGCGCGTCGTGAAGCAGATGTCATTGCTGGCCCCATACAAGTGGGGCGAAACGGCCTGGGCACGTTATGGCTACGATGTCCGGTAGAAACGGCGGAGAAAGTGGCAGAAGGAGATAGATTGCGCGTGGGATGGTCCTCGGCCAAGGTCACGCTTTTACCGCCGCGACAACTCCAGTGCTATCGATGCCTAGAGTATGGCCATATTAAGCAGATGTGCCGCAACGTAGAGGATAGAAGTGCGGCCTGCTATAGGTGCGGACAAAATGGCCATAAGGCAAGAGATTGCGCTGAACGTGCACACTGCGTGCTCTGTGAATCGCGCGGCCTTGAACCCAACCACAGAGTGGGGGGGGGCGTCCTGCACATCTCGAACCAAAGGCAGGAACGGACGACAAGTGCCCCCAGAGCGGAGGAGCGAGGGGCAGACACAAATGATGGAGGTGGACCAGAATGGACCAGTTAATACAAATTAACGTTAACCATTCTGGCCCGGCGCAGGACCTGCTCCAACAGGTCATGCGGGAAAGAGGAGCGGGACTTGCGGCGGTGTCCGAACCTCGCAGGCCCCCTACCACCTCAAATTGGGCAGTGGATCAGGATGGAGTAGCGGCGCTGACATGGTTACCGCAGGGAAGCCGCTCGGTGACCGGTATGCATGCAAGAGGACCGGGCTTTGTGGCGGTCAAGTGGGGGGAAATAGTAGTGTATAGTTGCTACTATTCCCCCAACCAAGACAGAGAGGAATTCGAGGACCGCTTGGATCTCCTGGCTGATAGCGTGCGAGGAGTGAGGGGCAAGCCCACACTGGTGCTAGGCGATTTCAATGCATGGTCGACTCAGTGGGGTCCCCCTCTACTAACGCTAGAGGACGCGCGGTGGAGGCGTGGGCAGCCGCGGCCGGCCTCCATGTTCTGAATAGGGGACGGTATTTCACCTGCGTTTGTCCGCAGGGAGCTTCCAGGATCGATCTGTTGTGGGCGTCCAGTGCTGCGGCTCCATTGGTGGAACGATGGAGGGTTCTAGTTAACGTGGAGTCGCTGTCGGACCATCGATATGTAGCACTGACGGTAAAGCAAATAACAGGAAGAGATGGTCAAATAAAGATGGAACGGTCCCCTAGGTGGAAGCTGGAAAAGTGGGACAAAGATCGGTTCAAGGCAGCAATCTTGGGAGCAACCTGGAACGAATCGGAGCATGAGGGTTGGTCGGCAGAAGAAGAAACGACGTGGATGGTGGAGGTCGTGAGAAACGCAAGCGATGCGTCAATGCCGAGGGTACGTGGCGCCTTTACTCTTCGCAAGCAGGCCTATTGGTGGTCAGAAAAAGTAGCCGCGTTAAGAAAAGAGTGCGTTGGACATCGAAGACGATACACAAGGGTACGAAAGCGTTATGGTCAAAGAGCGCCCGGTATAGTCGAGGAGGTCAGAGTTGGATTTCGGGAAGCGCAACGGGCCCTCCGCAAGGCCATAGTTGAGGCGAAAAAAGAAGCGTGGATGTCTCTGACACAAACAATAGATAAGGACCCTTGGGGCACCCCATACCGGATGGTGTTATCCCGGCTGAGAACCGCGGGACCCCCTATAACAGCGACGGTGGAGGTCAAAGATGCCCGGAAAATCGTACAGGCCCTGTTCCCCACGCGGACAGACGGGGAATACACGGGAGAGCAAGAACGGATCCCCTGGAATCCAACGTACGACGTCAGCGAGGAAGAATTGGAGGAAGCGGTACGAAAGATCACGGGTAAGAAAACGGCACCTGGACCGGATGGACTATCATGTCCGGTATGGGCTTTAGCGGCAAAAACGGCGCCGGATGTCATCAGGAGATGTTTTAATAAGTGCATGCAGGCTGGAAAATTCCCGAACATCTGGAAGAGAGGAAGGCTGGTGTTGGTGCCAAAGCCGGGGCGCTCGGGAGGTGACCCGTCGTCATACAGGCCGTTATGCTTGCTTGATGATATTGGGAAGCTCTTCGAGCGGATACTGGCAAAACGGATTGAGGCGCACCTAAGTGTAACAGGCGGATTGTCAGACAGACAATATGGCTTCCGACCGATGAGGTCCACGATTGATGCGGTGCTAAGGGTACGGCGAATCGTTAAGGAACATCTTGTGCAAGGAAGAGTATGCGTGGCAGTGAGCCTCGATGTGCAAAACGCATTTAATAGCTTGTCCTGGGTAGCTGCGAGAAAGACAATAAGAAAGCGGGGACTTCCAACCTACCTGCAAAAAACCCTGGAAAGTTATTTTGAAAACAGAAAGGTTACTTACCTGTGCAAGGACGGCAGGAAAAGGAGACACGGGATGACATGCGGGGTCCCACAGGGCTCGGTCCTGGGACCACTCTTGTGGGACATGGCATACGACGTTGTTCTGGATGTGCAGCTGCCACGACACAGCGAGGTCATATGCTATGCCGACGATACGTTGGTGCTATCGGCCGGAAACACGGATAGAGAAGCGGCAGAAAGAGCGACTANGGCGGTTGGTGTGGTGTCGAGAGAGTTGGAGACCCTGGGCCTCAAGTTGGCAGCCTCTAAGACCGAGGCTGTGGTGTTCCGGAAAAAAGGAAGACCAGGCGACCCACTAAACATAATGATAGGACGAGAAAAAATCGCGACGGGTCCCCATTTTAAGTATCTGGGTCTAATTATAGATGAGAAGTGGACATTCAAGGAACACTTTAAATATACGGCGCAGAANGCAACACGGGTAACAACGGCTCTGGCAAGGTTGATGCCTAATATGAGAGGCCCGCGTGAGCACACTAGGAGATTGTACATGATGGTGGTCAANTCTGTGCTCATGTATGGGGCGCCGGTATGGTGCAACGAGGTAAAGAGGCGCGTGTCGTCTCCGATGGTGGAAGTGCAGCGCATGATGGCGGCCAGANTGGTGCGTGCGTATCGCACGGTATCTGGGGAAGCAGTAAGGGTGTTGGCCCGCACCCCTCCNGTGGACTTAATGGCGTGGCGACAGTCGGCGGTGTACGGCGCCATTCGCGAGGCAAGAGAAAGAGACGGAAGANGTGAGATCAACGAGGAAGAGGAAGTACGAATACAAGAACGAACAGGACGAGCGATGATTAGGCAATGGCGGGAACGCATAAATGATCCCTTTCTGTCGGGCCGAAGGGTTTGCGAGGCTGTGGGACCGGTGNTGCGGCAGTGGGTCAACAGGCGGCACGGAGAGCTTGGTTACCATACAACCCAGGTCATGACGGGGNACGGTTCGTTCGGTGCTTTCTTGTACCAAATAAGAAAAGTAGACTCCCCCAGGTGCATGCATTGTGAGGGGGGTAATGTAGATGACGCCCAGCATACACTCGAGCATTGCCNCGCGTGGGAAGGAGAGAGAGCTGCTCTGCGTACGGCACTCGACGAGGATGACTTGTCATTGCGCACGTTAGTGCGGCATATGATTAGTGACAAGGGAAAGTGGCGGGCGGTGGAAACATTTTGTTTCCATGTGATGATGGCGAAGGANGACGCCGAAAGAGCCCGCCAAAATCAACCGGCTCGGCAAGATCGAGGGAGAATGGGGGATGGGGACTAAGCGGCCTAGGTCGCTCCACCCCTCTCCTTTCTCTCTCTCCCAACTACAGCGGTAGGGATCTTGTAAGAAGAAAGAGCAGAGCAGTGCGGAACTGCACTGAACCAAGGGAGGGGGGGAAGCGGGGAGCTTCTCCCCTCACATTGCACGTGGTTCATGGGCAGTGGTGGGGGACCAGGGTGGTCCTTGGCCTCCCACTAAACAGGAGGAGACGGCAGTGATAGCCGAGGCGCTTGGGGGGGAAGTCGCGAAGGAATAGTCGTCAGACTTTCCAGGCTTCCCTCCACCTTTAAAGCGCAAAAGGGACCACCGAGGTGTTTTAGCGGGTAGTCCCTCTCCATCCCAATTTTATTGGGAGGGGGGAGAGTCCCGCATACCCCCGTCACTTCCCCAAGTGGCGGGAAATGCATCAAGCATTTCACCTCGTAAAAAAAAAAAAAAAAAAAAGGCCTGTGATGTAGCGTCTACCCGTATAAAGACGATCCCTTCCAAACGGCAAACATACTGGTGGAATAAAGACTTGGCCGAACAACGAAGGAAGTGCACGGTGGCCAGACGAATGATGGTAAAGTCTAGAAGGCGAGGAAATTTAGAGAATGCTGAAGCTGCCAGAAAAGAACTAAGGGCCCTACAGCGATCATTGAGGATTGCTATCGCGGAAGCTAAAAAGAACGCGTGGCAGGAGTTGTTGGCAACCTTAGATAGTGATCCCTGGGGAAGTCCATACAAATCGGTGATGAATCGCCTGAGAAAGGGAACCTTGTCGGTCACCGAATCGCTGGAAGAACACGAATTGGAGAACGTGGTAAGCGGACTTTTCCCCGAGCAAGAAGGGGCTGAAGAACGATGGCCTGAGGTACCCCCGGTGTTGGATGACGACGATTTTATATCTCTTGATGAGATAAAAAGTGCCTTTAAAGATGTTAAGCGGCAAAATTCGGCCCCAGGACCGGATGGGATATCAGTAGGGGTAGTGGCAGCCATGTTTTCGGTAGTTCCTGACCGCCTTGTCCGATGTTTCAACACGTGTATCCAGAAAGGAAGGTTTCCCGAGTGCTGGAAGGTGGCTCGGTTGGTCCTTGTTCCCAAACCTGGCAGGGAGCCTGGTAATCCTTCCTCGTATCGCCCGCTCTGCCTGCTAAGTGACATCGGCAAGTTATTTGAGCGGGTGCTGGCTCGGCGCATGATGGAGTGGGTTGAAGCACGTGGAGGCTTTGCAACTCGTCAGTTTGGCTTTCAAAAGGGGCGATTTACATGCGACGCAGTGTTGGCCCTTAGAAGTTTTTCCTCCTCTTTTACAGTTAATAGAGGTGTATGTGTTGCTGTATCGTTGGACGTCAAGAATGCATTTAATTCGCTGCCTTGGCCAAAAATCTGCGAAGCCATGGCAATATGGCGTATGCCTGTGCATATTAGACATGTTGTAGCTGACTATCTGAGGCATAGGTTTATCAGGTATACGAGTCCTGATGGTCAAATGTCTGAAAGGCGAATTTCGTGTGGGGTCCCGCAGGGATCGGTTTTGGGTCCCCTACTTTGAAACCTCACATACGACCAAGTCTTGCGATTCCAAGTCCCATCTACGTGCCGTATCTTTTGTTACGCAGACGATACATTAGTGGCTGCGGGTGGTCCCAATGTTGAATACGCGGTTGCTGTGGCAAATCGCGGACTTAAGGTTATCAGCAGAGTTATTGGTGCCTTGGGACTCAGTATTGCTCCAGAAAAGACAGAAGCGGTGATTTTCCGCAATAGAAGAGCCAGAATACAGGTTTTGCCGGTGTCTTTAAACGGAACTGAAATTATGCCAGGGCTGTCGATGACGTACCTGGGATTTATTCTCAATGACGGATGGACATTCAGGTTCCATTTCCAGCATATGATTGCTAAAGGACAGAAAGTCTTTATGGCTCTTGCGCGTATAATGCCCAATCTAGGCGGACCCGCTGAAAGACGAAGATGACTATATATGCATGTTTTCCTAGCGGTCATTTTATATGGTGCCCCGGTATGGGCCGACGTATTTATAAAAAATAAAATGGCGGTGTCCCAGTGTCGTGCTGTGCAAAGACAGATGGCGATACGAGTAATTAGTGCCTATCGCACAGTGTCGTCGGACGTCGCTTTTCTACTGGCAAGGTTTCCACCTTTGGAATTGTTATGTGAGGAACGGGCTAACATCTTTAAATATCTTCGCCTCGGAAATGGACCGCTGGATTATGACCAGCTTAAAAGTACGGAAGGAATAAACACCAGAAACAAATGGCTTGCTAAAATTAGGCTGAGTCAGACTGGCAAACGAACAAAGGAAGCTGTGTTTCCAATCTTTGAGCGGTGGTTGACAAGGCCGCATGGTGCGCTGTCGTTCCATCTGACCCAAATGATGACGGGACATGGGTGTTTTAATACTTTTTTTTTTTTTTTTTTTTTGTTCCGTATTGGGAAAGCTGAAACAGAGAGATGTTCTCATTGTCGTTGGGCAATAGATTCCCTAGAACATACTT